TTCTCTTCGAAGAACGCGGAACCTCCCCTGACCCCTTCACCAACTGTCTCCATATCGACGACGCAGCCAACAATTTAGGACACGAGTGCAGATCGATCTGCGTGTGGGCGGTGGCCGAATAATAATAAACTTGACTCTCCAACTCAAGAACCCTCCAGGGCCCCAAACAATATCTTCTCCCTTTCATTCTTTTTTTTTCCCCCCGCATTCTTTCCTAATACCACGTTTCAAATCAGCTGTTCCTCAAAACACCATCATCCAAAAAAAAAATGTTTCAGTAGCTCTTGTCGATCTGAGCAAAAAAAAAAAATCCCCCTGATTGTTTTATTCCTCCCGGAGGAATATTAGTAAAAACTTTTCCATTCTTTTTTTATCGGGATTTCGCACCTCCTATAAAAGAGAGAGAAAGAGAGATAGACTGGTACCCGATGTCGGTGACAACGAGACAAACCGTCGTCATTAGCTGGATGCCGAATTCAGGAAAAAATAAAGCGGCACGCCAGGTTCAAACAAATGACTCCACATACATTGCAGTGATAGGTTGACAAATATATATTAAACTATTTTAATGAGAAGTGGTCGCCATATCTCATCGCAATTACCGGGCACCGACCCGCTGGCTGATTCCTGTGGCGGCAATTCTTTGCGGGAGTGGACTCTCTTCCCCTTCACTCGCTTGCTGGTGCGCGGCAAAAACATACGCTCCGAGAGCAAAGGTTAAGGGAAGCGCACAGGTCGCTTCACGAGTAATTATCCTCATGCTGCTGATGCTCACTACGTGTATATGCGTAGAAAATCAACTTCGCTATTTACCGCAAATATATTTTTGTCTCCATTTTTAAAAACCTAGACCCCTCTTTGTCTAATCACCTAATTCTAGAAGCCAGATTTTCAAAATCATTCCAGCAAAAACTAGAATTATGGATTGATGATTGAAATAGAAAAGACGAGTGTGGTGGTGGATTCGTGACTGTCAGGCAAGGACGCGAGAAGATGGGAATGTTTGTGATGGCGGCATGGCTACTCGACGACAGCTCTATCTCAGTGGTTCACCTGGACACAAAAACCACAGACGCATGAACGCACGCGCGACATTCGAAAAGTAATGACTGCGGGGGTTTGCACTCGAAAATAAAAACACTTGACTTTCTCCTCATGTTGGTTATAAAGGAGAAGCATTCAAAGCATCTTTGTCAATAAATAAGAGAGATACCGCTGGTGCTCTAAAAAAAGAAAATTTTACCCAAGGTCTTATTATAAATTCCCAGGGGGCACTAGCGTGTCTTAAAGATATCCTAAGAAGGTTCTAAAATCTCCAGGTGAACTAAATGTCCACAGGACAACTAAATGGTGAAAAGGACCATCATAGGTACATAAGATGTACCATGTGTTTTGTTGTCTGACCCAGAGGGCAGACCCCAAAGTTTTTGGAATTTCCGAAAGGGAAATTAAAGGATATGTTTAGGACCTCATTAGACCTAACGTTGCACTTGTTTGGGGTTTTTTTAGGTCCACTATTTTGATGCCCCAAAGGATATGGTACCTTCAGGATTCGATGAAGAAAATTAGATTTATTCTAAGTTCAGAAGATATCTGACGGATGTTCATGAATTCTAATAGTCAAACTCCCTTTTCAAGGTTAGCAGTTGGGGTCTAGTTCTCCTGGAGGAAATCAGCTGATGTGAACTAGAAAACATGCTCGATACCTGCACCCATTCTTCTATATTACATAACGAGTGCATGCTTTTATGCTTACTTAATACCGTGTGGTGTAACGAGTGACCACAAAGGGAAAGGGGAAATGTGCACAATGCCAGCAACCCAACGAGATGTTCTATAGAACTGTCAGTCACGGTATCTCCAGTCCCCCGCAGAAGTTATTCCAGTCTACTACCACTCTACCATTCTATCCTTATTGATTCTCTTCCTATTCTCCCAGCCTCAACTCTTTCTATTCCCCAATCCCATCTTTATTTCTCAAAGGAACTCAAAATCCTAAAGTAAAAAAGTGTAGAAAAAATCATCTATTTACTGATCCCATTCCTTGGGGTACTCCAAATGCTATTATCTATAACGACAGTAATTTTTTGACAGTAGTATTTTGTTATTAATTTTTATAAGAATATTTAATAATATTCCCTTTGATTACAAATCTTCTAATCAAGATTTGTGTATACAGTGACATTGACATTTAATTACAACTGGCATTCACGACACCCACATTAGAGATGGTAGATTTTATAGTCACGTAGAGAGGCAAACACAAATCATATGTGTACAATTAGTACGTGATCTTGAATAACAAATCTGTAATCTGAATGAAAAAGTGTATACGGTATCCTGGCGGGGAATCTGTATATAGGGAAACAAGGAAGTATGAGAACGTACAGACCACATGTTTCGCAATCTTTTCTGTCCCAGAATTTGTATTGTGCACAACGGACTATGATTCAAATGTAACTTGCTCCTACCTTTTGCTCATTATCAGACTAGGAAGAAGCTAACTTGACGTCTCCCTTTTCTCCAAGCACATCTTAATGATATTACAGTATCCTAATCCATTCGGGTAGCGAACAAATCCATTGAAATTTAAAATCGTTAATTAAAACTAGAACTTTACTAAATTTCCCACTAGCTGTTTTTCTATTAGGATAATTTAATAAATAAAAGTTTCCTCTAATCGATGATTATGAGGCATTGTCGGTATTTCTGGTTTCGCAATTAAGGGCCCCGGTGTGTCCCTTGTCACTGAGACCACCTTCGAGAGGAACCATCTTCTTGTGGCTGCATAAAAGTCGACATACCAGATGTGCTGCGCTGCGTCATCCACGATTTACTGCGATAACTTTTGCGCCCAGACAATTTGTACCTGTTGCATTGCGCTCAACAGCAAACGGGCATTTCACTAGTAAAACCAACGGAAGACGACGAAGACGAAGAGTAACGAAATGGAGAAGAGCGCAGCATGCTGAGAACCATTCTCGACATTGCACTTTATAACCCATGAGGACTGCCTCACCGTTAAATCTCTCTTTTGTAGTACCGGAAATTCTCCCTCGAGCAAAAAAAAAAAAAAATTTGTCAATCTATAAATAAAAATTCCCTTCGAATAAAATTATTTTCCCTTGAATTAAATTTTAATTATTCCATTCATTCCATTCATTTCATTATCACGAATAAAACATTACTTAATTGTCATTCCATTGTATTGGAAAAATAAAAATCTTTACCCACATTCCTCTACTTACATTTAGAGTATAACTTGAGAAAATACCAGTGAATTCTTTGAATTCTTTGCATAAACCTCTATTTTCTAAACTACCCGACAATTTCGAAATAATATTTTAAGTGCAACTAGTGGAACTAATTGAAGGTGAAAAATGATTAAATGAAAATAAATTATGAAGAAATCGAAGGTCTTATTCTTCATTGTTCTCAAAAACCTTTCTTGAGTTGAAGAATATAAAAAAATTGATTTACCATAAATATATCGCTGTGGGATTTCTGTTTTTTTTGTGAGGAAAAAAAATAGAACGAATAGAGAGAATCAATGGTGACCTTCGATGGAACAGAACAGAAAACCTTGCTCTCGTACATATAATCTCGTGAGCAGATGTTAGTCGGCCCTTTCGTGGCGGGATCCGCATTGGATTGTATTCCGTATATACTCCGATTGAAATCGATATTCCGCCCAAGGTCACATAAAACGAAACCAGAGGAACAATGCGGTATCCAAGGCGTACAGAGAATAAGCACGCAACACACTGAAAGTAAGACTCTCCACGTTCCCTTTTTGTGCTCCAATCTTTTTTTTTTTTTTTTTCTTTAAAGATATAAAAGCAGATATATCCGGAGTGGCAAAAAATATTTTCTCATTTTACTTGAACTAAAAACCATTGATTACATTTACTCCAATTGCCATTTGCCATTATCATCAGCAAATTGGTTTTGATTGCAAAAATTTATTAGATGTTGATGATCGTTGGATGCATTAGATCGGAACAGAACAGAGGCATTCCATTGTGGAAATGAACAGGGAATGAAATTCTCTTGAGTAACATGAGAATAAGGATTTTTTATTGAAATAATTTACATTCCTTAATTCACTTTTTCATTCTTGGTTCTGGTATATTGAAAAATTAAGATTTCGCGGTCAACGACTCGAAAAATCTTGAAATTAGAATTATTCCGATTAACAACTATCGAAGATGCTTAAAAACCGGACTGAATCAATCAGAAGAATAATTAAAAGATACGAATACGGAAGGAAAATGGTGGATCGTATAAAATATCGAAGAGGGAAGGTGAATGTTCCCTAAGGGCAATTCGAATTACCAGATCAGATCAGCAGTAATTCATTTGCATGATTGGTTTCAGAGAGTGTCTGAACACAGTTTCTCTCCTTCTAAACCACCAACTTTCTTTTTCCCAATCATCGCAATTGCAAAGTGTCTAAATTACCATTTGTTCAACAAAACCACAATAAAATCAATTGTTTATTTCTCAACTTATCAAAATTTGTGAACTTTGGAGAACTATAAATCATAAGCAAAATTGCTAATAAACTAATGAAACAATAGCAAAGAAGGATACGGGAAAGTAAATTTAAAATGTTGAGTAGGTAATAAATAAATTCAAAAAGCAAAAGGAATGCTCAAAAACGAATCATAGGGTACGTGAAAGATTTTTTTGGGTGTGGGGTTGTACCACCCCATAAATAACCACAGTTGGGAGCCGGGGGCGTCCATCAACGTATACCGCTCCCACGTCTGTCTGTCTGTACCGGGTCGAAGTATATATACATGAGAACAGTGTTGGCCCACGGAAATTAGTCATCGTGTGTATTATGAATGGTGGGCCCTTCCTCTTTTTTTTTGTTCATCGCGATATCCCGTTTCAGGTACATTAAACACAAAAAAAAGGACCCGGTTTGGGGGAAATAAGATATTTTCTTTGTCTGATTTTCAATTTTGTCAAATTGATGTGTTTTTTTATTACAGGTTCAAGCCACGGATCCTGATTGCGGTGTTAATTCGATGGTCAATTATACACTGGCGGCGAGTAAAATTGCGAGTGAACAACTTCTCGTACGCAGTGACACTGGAGAAATCTGTGTCAAGTCGCCACTCGACAGGGAGTCTGCTTCGTATTTGGAATTACCGGTCATTGCCACTGATAGAGGTCAGTATTTTAAATAAAATTAATAATTTTTATTTGCAGTTTGATTCAATTTACGATTAGTGAAATAAACTTGCTGCATTGGGTATTTAAGGAAAGCTTTTATCATTCGAAATTAGTATTTTTACGTTGCTTCTCATTACATAATTGTAACTAATTATTTTAAGATTCATTAATTAAAGTCCGGCTAAAATTGACAGTACTCAATTCCCAATTCGCAATTTAATATTATATAAATTTAGACTAACTCAACTTATACAATCCGCGATGCAAATATTAAGTAATTTAGGTGCAGCTAACATTCCCAATCTGCAATGCAATATTAGGTAACATAAGTGCAGCTATTATTCTCAATCCCCAATGCAATATTAAACAATTTTAGTTGAACTAACATTCCCAATCCGCGAAGCAATATTAGATGATTTAATTACATCTATCATTCTCAATCCACAAACAGTTTCAGTCCAGCTAGCAATTCCAATCCGCAAGACAGTAATGTATGTCCAGATGTAATTAACAATTGGGTAATTCATTAGGTAATTTTAGTATTAGCTGTTATACACAATTTGCAATGCAATTATGAGAAGTTAAGTTTCATTAATCTTTCCTAATCCGCAATAAAGTTTTGGCTAATTAAGATGCATCTAACATTCTCAATCTGCAATACAAGATTAAACAATTTAAACCACCCTTCCCAATCCGCAATGCAATATTAGGTAATTTATGTTCAGCAACCGTTCACAATTCGCAATGCAATATTAGATCTGTTATGTACAGCTAACATTCCCAATTAGCAATAGAATATTAGCTAATTGAAGTCCAGAAATTATTTGCAATCCGCAAATTGATATTAGATATTGTAAACGCGTTTATAATTGTCAATCTGCAATGCAATATTAGACAGTTTAAGTGGAGTCTTGATTCCCAATACGCAATGCAATATTAGGTAATTTATGTTCAGCAATCGTTCAGAATCCGCAATGTTTCTGGAAGTTCAGATATTATTTGTAAACTGCAAATAGATATTAGGTAATTTTAGGCATTGTTGATGCATTTATCATTTTTAATCTGCAATACAATATTAGATACTTCAAGTTCAGCTATAACTCCCCAATTCGCGATGCAATATTAGGTAATTTATGTTCAGCAATCATTCACAATCCGCAATGTAATATTAGATCTGTTATGTACAGCTAACATTCCCAATCCGCAATGAAATATTAGCTAATTGAAGTCTAGATATTGTTTGCAATCCTCAAATTGATATTAGGTATTGTAAATGCGTTTATAATTCCCAATCTGCAATACAATATTAGTCAGTTTAAATGGAGCCAAGTTTCCCAATCCGCAATGCAATATTAGGTAATTTATGTTTAGCAATCGTTCACAATCCGCAATGAAATATTAGATCGTTTAGGTTCAACCATCAATCTCAATCTGCAATGCAATATTAGGTAATTCAAGTTCTTTTGTTGTCGACAATTAGCAACGTAATTTTTGAAAGTTTACTTGCACCTAACATTTCTAATCAGCGTTGCGGTGTTGGCTACTTTAATTCCATCTATCATTCCCACCCCTCAATGGAATAATGAATAGTTCAGGTTTAGCTAACATTTCCAATCTGTAATGGAATACTAAGTACTATAATTACGTATGTAATTCTAAATCCCTAAGGAAATGATAGATTCAGGTAACATTCCTAATCCGCAATGCAACGTTAGGTAATTTAATTACATCTATCATTCTCAATCTGCAATGAATATTGTCACTAACGATTTTTTTCACTTCAGTTACCTTTTTTTCGATTCCACAATGCGAATGGAATAGAGTAGCGGAAATATTGAGTCGGGTAGATAAAGGAAGAATAAGAAATACTTGTGTGAAGAGTTGAGAAAAGGTGGCTATCGCCAAGATATGATCTATAGTAGCTCTATAATAGGCTTTATGATTTATGTTACAAGTGTTCTGCGCCTATTTTCAAGGATTGTGTGCACACTCCTGCCCATATGGGTAGGACAATGACTGAAGTCCATTGATCCGTTGTACTAGAAAGCAGCCAATTTAAACTGTTTGGTGACCCGTAACTGCGAGCTTTTCGCATAGGTCACAATCCTTGACGCGTAACCTCACCTACCACGAATTTCTAATCGCCTCTTTATACATAAATCAAAATATTTGAATACAGCAAAAAGAATTACAATTTTTCTGCTTAAATTACAGTAACAAGGTAAATTAAATTTTTTTTGTCCATTTCCTGAGAATCATGAATTCATATATTATGCGTAGTCTGAGACATCATATTATGCATATGAGCATAGTCGTTTCAACTCTATGTTTATGTTCTTGAAACGACATTCTGGTTTGGGTAGTGCATACTAAGTTGGTTTACTTAACATCGCATAGGGTCAGAATAGAAAATTTGCATTATTTTTTAACACTCTATGGTAGTTTAGAAATAATTATTATCAAAAAGCAATTGTTTGTTTGAGAAATTAATGTTTGTTTGTTTAACGAATTCTTGTTTCCCTTGTGTTTCGCCTTGTGATAGAGTCAAGAGAGTACGGAAACATGTATATAGGCATTATTCGCAGGACGATGTGGCGTCGGCGGCGTATTAGTGATATTTATCGCGATGCGTTTGGTCAGCGTTCCCTCCGGCGTCCAGCAATGTCCATACAAAACACGTTAAGCGGCAACGACAGCTGAACATTATAAATCACATGGAAATTTTTTTTCTCCCCCACATTTGGTGTTCATGTCATATCCGCCGATTGTAATCCCTATTCTAATGTTATAAGGAAACGATAACAATTTCCGATCGAACAATCGCCTTGAGAGATATCGATAACGACCAACGATTATATACGGATAATAATGCACAAGTTTCAATTCACACTGTCGGGAATAAAAAATTATAATAGCGCCACTATCCGACGAATTGAAAATAATTCTTTGAGAATACCGAATTGAATAGGAATTAAAAAAAACTTTTTTAAAAAGTCCAAGTTTTAAATTAATCATTTTTCTAAATCCTAAGAATTTGTCCGCATCCAGCGAACATGCGAGTACTTTGAGGAAGGCTTAACTCAAGTGTTAATATTAAAGACAGTATGTAAAACGGGTAATCCGATGTTTAAACGGTTTTCATCCGTAATTCATAGTAATGTATGGACTCGACTGGCGGAGCTCGGAGCATAAGTTGATTTATGGGTACGTACGAGTGTCATTGAAGTCATGCGTCAGGGACCAACACTGAACAGGCTAAACCAGCCAACAGTCCCTCCCGACTTCTTTTTTTTTGCATCCTCCCAAGATAACACCAAAAGATTTCTTACCGCATTTCTTGTGAAGCCTCGAAATTATTTCTCTTTTTTAAAACTTCACTTTTTGAAATTTGAACAGTTGAGAATTTAAAATTGACTTACGGTTAACATAAATCTTGTAGGTTAAAGTTTCTAGCGAATCTTGATCTACTTCTAAAATGTACGTTCCGCCTTAATCTCATTGCATGAAGAAGAAGAAGAAGAGGAGGAGGAGGAAGATGCTGCGATAGTGGTCCGACGAAATGTTTTTTCGTTTTGAATTATTGCGTCCGGAATATTACCCTCCCTTTTGTATGAAAGTATATAGATAACCGAAAGTCAGTAGGAGCTGAGATGATTGGCTTTTGAAAAAAAAGATGCGAGCCTTCCCTTTATGATTTATGTTTGTCTCTTGTCGATTTTTTAAAAATTATTTCATAATTAATTTTTTTATTTCAGGTGGTTTGAGTACAACGGCAATTGTTCGTGTTCAAATAACGGACGTCAATGACAATAGACCAATTTTTAATCCTAGAAATTATAATGTGACCTTGAAGAATACGGAACCAATTAGTGGCGCAATTTTAAGATTATCAGCGACAGATCAAGATGCTGGTCTTTTTGGTCAAGTTGACTTCCGGATATCAGGTGGCAATGAAGCTGGAATCTTTCGGATAGACAGAAGCACTGGTGAGATTCATGTGGCACGACCGAGTCTTCTGGCGAGGTCGTCGGTGCATCAGTTGAACGTGACTGCAACAGATGCTGCGGGTCTCAAGAGTTCAACGGACGCCGAGGTTAGAATCACGGCGTCATCTTCTGTTCACAGATTAGCAATTTGTGAAAGGCCACGTTATACATTTATCGTTAAGGAAAATGTCGCTCAAAATTCTGTCGTTGGTACTATTAAGGATACTGGATCATCAACTGGTAAGTTGAAAACAAAATAATTATGATAAGGATCATAACTCATTATTTGTAACGAACGTAATTAAAAAAGCAGAAAATTTAGTTTTCGCCTTAAATGCGAAAACATAATACGGAGTCATACCCAATATTAATGATGATGATGATGATGATTGATGATAAGCTTTCCAGACTAACTTGTTTAGGTATTGGAAACTTTTGCTCATCACTATTTATAAACATAACATTTCAAATTCTCCTGCCGTTTTTGATGAACCCATTTCCTGAAAACCGGACACCTATCTACAATTTCCATTTCTTGTTATCTCCGATCAGCAATGCAACTTTGCATTTAAACTCAATTAATATCTTAGACATGTAAATTTACAGGAGATCTTGATACATCATTGCGCGGCGTTAATGTTTTCTGAGTATAGTAAATTCTTGCAAGGGAGTGATTAATAGATTTCTGAAAAGTTGAATAAAAAAAAATAAGACTAAATATAAATAAAAAAAAAGGATTGAAAAAGAATTTGATGAAAAAGTTTTTCTCAAATTTACAAACGTCTTAGGGATTTAGAGATTTATCACACTATATGTTCACTTCCTATTTATTGGGAAGAGGTAATTTGACCACCAGTGAAGAACAGATCCAGGATCGATGACTCGATGATTACACGTAGGCGAGGGATAGAGGGAATCAGACACGTAGGAGGCGAATAACTTTTTTTTTCTTCTTATTCTTGCTTTAGGTTTAACGTTAAGGGACTAGTGTTTATGTACAGTTATAAGGAATGAAATACCCTTCTTGAAGATATTGAACGATTGATATGGAAAATAAAAGAATATTTTAAATTCAAAAGAGACTATTAATTAATATTTAGAAAATTTGTTTTACAATTTTCTCACTTCTTTAGAATTTCTGTCTTTTAAAACTAGAAAATTCGCATTTTAAAATCAATCGGAATTTTCAATTTTTAGAAAGTTAGTGACTATTCTGAAAAAATAGACACAGAACGTGAGATTTCCTGTGTGTGAAGATTTTTAGAATTTTTTTTTACATTACAATTTCAAATTACTCTCTCGAAGTCTCAGGGGATTAGAAACTGAGAGTTTGAGAAATATTTTACGTGAACGTTAGTTTCTTTTATTTTCACATCTCTATTTACATTTCAAGTACAAAACACTTTGGAAAATTATTCCACGCGACGCTTTCGTGTTAGCATAGTCGTGTCACGACTGAGTATATAAACGATGCCAAGAATACATTTTATCGATCAGAACATTTATATTTAATTCTATCGACTATTTCTTTTAAGGAAAGATAAAAAATATTCCCATGCAAATCGATTTGATAGATTTTTTTGTTGTCAACAGTGTTAAATTGTATAACTTTATCTTTACGTTGCAAACGGATATCGTAATTAAGTTAACATTTATATTACATTTATTATCAATCCGGAATGTTATATTACATTGTTTAGGTTTATCTAACACTCCAAAATCACGTTTCCAAAGTTGGTAATTAAAGATTAACACGGCAATTTGCAAAGCAATATTAGGTATTTTAGGTTAAGTTAACATTTCCAATCTGCTATAGAATATTAGGTAATTTATGTCCAGCAATCATTCACAATCTGCAATGACATTTTGGATAGTTAAGTATCAGCCAAAATTCCCAATCAACGATGCTAGATTATGCAACTTAATTACATCAGTCATTATCAATCTGGAATGTAATATTACATAGTTTCAGTTTGGCTCACACTCCCAAATCACGATCCAATATTACGTAAATAAAACTTTACGATCATCCTCAATTTGCAATGCAATATTAGATAGTTTAGGTTCAGCTAACATTCTAAATCCACGATGAAATATTACGTAATTAACGTACTGATACCATTCGCAATCAGAAAATTAATATTAGCTAATCTAAGTCCATCAAGCATTCATAATCCAAGATGTGATTTTGGGTTGTGACGTTACATTTTTCATTATCAATCCACAAATTAATATTAGGTATTGTAAATGCGTTTACCATTCCCAATCCGCAATGGAATTTTACTATTTTATGTTCAGCAATCGTTCACAATCCGCAATGCAATATTAGATCTTTTAGATACAACTATCACTCCCAATTTGCAATGAAATATTAGCTAATTGAAGTCTAGATAATATTTGCAATCCACATAATAATTTTAGGTATTGTAAATAGCTTTATCATTCCTAATCTGCAATCCAATATTAGATACTTCAAGTTTAGCTAACTTTCCCAATCCGCATTGCAATATTTAGGTGATCTATTCCAAAAATCTTTATGGCAATATTAGGTGATTCATGTCCATCTATCATTCACAATTCGCAATGTAATTTTGAGCAGTTACGGTTCATGTAACATTCTCAATTTTTTATTCAGTGTTGGGTAATTTAATGACATCTATGGTTCTCAATCTGCAATGCAATATTAGATCATTTAATTACTTCTATTACAATTACAATCCTCAATGCAATTTTGGGTGGTTAAGTTTCAGCTAACATTCCCAATCAGCATTAAAATATTAGCTAATTGAAGTCCGGATATAATTCACAATTCGTAATGTACTTTAGGGTAGTTTAGTGTCATTTATCATTTTCAATCCTTGATGAAAAATTAGGTAATTTACGTTCAACTATCATTTGCAATCTGCAGTACAACATTAACTGGTTAATTGCAAGTTACTATTGGATCGTTTAGGATAAGCTGTTGAAACCTGGTGGAAAATTTCCTAATTCCATTAGAACTAAAATTCTCTCACTTGTGTTAATGTTGGTTTTGAGACACACGATAGACACCAACAGAAAGAAGCAAATTGCTTGGGAAAAAAATAAACAACCAAAAGTCACGAGTTGAGTTTTAAGATGGGACTTTAAAAGGAAAGAGAGAAGTGTCGTTGCCTTGCTCTGGTGAAATCGCGTGTATAAGTTAAGAAACGTATACATTGATATGCGACGAATTTGCATATGCGGGCCAAGCAGCAAAACAATACGACCACCAGTATGGCACCCATGGTTTTAAAGTACCGGCAATAGCGGAATCTATAACGCTGTTCATGGGACGGAGGGATACGTACTTTACAGGGTGTATCAGTTATAGCGCATTGAGCGCAGGTCGTGACGTGGCCTATCTTGCATCGGATGTACCTCCAGTGTGGAAACACGGATACGTACCTCCATCCCCTTGGACCCTACGTTCCGTCCTCTTTCTCTCTCTTTCTTTCTTCATCTTTTTTTTTCTTTTCACAACAAATATACAAAAGTATGCTTCTTTCTTCAAAACCACCTGTTTACAATCATTCTCTCTTTGTCTTAAGAAGAAGAAGAAATCAACGACACATAAATTTGTAAGAGATTAACCGATCTTTTTTTTTTCGTTTCCACAATGAAGTCTGATCGATTTCAATGGAGCTTCATAAGTTACAATATTCATCAGATATCTTTTTCTTAGAGGACTGTCGCTGATGATGCAGAAAAAAAAACTTATATAATGTGAATATTTTCTGATACTCCAAAGTGATTGTAAAATGAATGATGAATTTTTCAGGTATTGTAATAAAAAAAAGGAAGTTTTCTTGGGAATTACGCAAATGTTTTTTGAGAGGCAAGAGAAGTTTTTGCTATCTTTCATGAATCTTTAGTTCACTCGAGATGGTAGAGACAAATCCGAGTGTGCGACTTGCCAGAAAATTTGAAAGTTCAGTGAAAGCATGACTAGTGCCTGAATTACATTAAGATTGATAACAATGATGTCTCACGAATAGTACAAAATAAATTGTAATTCAGACTAATTTTTAAAAAGAGTATTTATTATAAATCTGCTGGATCAGGGTTGCCACAAAATACTTAATTTTCTTTTTCCCTGACCTCCATAGACAGAATTTTACCTCTTTTCCTGAAACCTAAAGAATTGTAAACTTTTTCAAAAACATCAATAACTTCATTTTTAAATAAATATTTAATTATTATTTTTCCATACGAATTAAAATTCTTTAACGATTCTAATTCAAAAGAATTTGAAATTTAACAACTTAGAAAAATATTATAAAACATGAAGAAATGATCGATTTCTTCATGTTTTTATAATAATTAAAAATAACCCAATGATAGAATTATTATTTTATATAAAAATATTGTTACTCTAACTTTTTCGAAATTATTTTCATCATTTCAATTCACCTATTATTTTATAGAATTTTCAACTAAAATTCTTCTTTAAATCCATTATTTTTAATAATTCTTAAAAAAGTTCTTAATGAAAATTTTCAAATCCATTTGTTTACAATTCAATTTTACCATAAATTTTGATTATTAGGATATTCTTCATTTAAATAGATATGAGAGAATGTAATCTTCTAATAAATTCAACGAAAACTTCAAATAAAATTTTTTAAAATTTTTCGAGAAAATTAGTTTAACAGAATTTTTAATTTAAAAGTATGAAAAATTCAGATTTTTAAAGATTTTAATTTAAAACCTTTTCAAAATTCAATTATTTCTAAAAATTTACGCTATAATGCTTTTAATATTTAATTATTATCTAAAATTTTAAACAAAATTCATTTTGAAATAAATTTTTATTAGAAAATTCTACGAGAATTCAATTATTTAAACACAAAAATAAATAATTTATTGAATAATTGAATGTTTGTTAGAACTAAATTTTTAGGATGAATTTTATTAACAACTTTTGAAAATAATTAATTTCATTTAAGGAATTTAGTTAAAATTTTACAGAAAATTATTAAATTAAATAATTTTATCACAGTTTTTGAAAATAATTAAAAACTTTTGAAGAATTTTATTAAAATTTTGAAGAATAATTGAATACATGAGAAGAATTTGAATAATAATATATAAAAATAATTGCATTAATGCGAAAAATTTTATTAAATTTTGTTTAAATAATTGAATTTAATAATTTTAAAATAATTGAATATTCCTGAGAATAATTTAAATAATAATTTATGAAAATAATTGCATTAATG